GGGGGGGGCGGATAAATTAGGAGGTTGGGATTAATAGATATACACTACTATATATAAAACAGATAAACAACAAGGACCTACTATATAGCACTGGGAACTCTATTCGGTATCCTGTAATAAACTACAGTGGAAAAGAATCTGAAAAAGAATGTGTGTGTGTGTGTGTGTGTGTGTGTGTGTGTGTGTGTGTACACACACACACACACACACACATGCATGTATGTATAACTGAATCACTTTGCTGTACACTTGAAATACTGTAAATCAACTACACTTCAATTTAAAAAAAAAGAAAGAAATCTTTATGGCAAAAGACACTATACACAAAGCAAAAGACCAAAAAAAGGGGAAAAAATATCTGTGGCACATATGCCAAAAAACATATACCTAACAGACAAAAGCTACTACAAATCAATAAAAAAGTAACCCAGATGTTAGGGTAGCAAGAAAACTTTTGTTTTTCCTTTTTTGAACCTCTATTTTTCAAAATCATAATGTTATGTTACTTTTCTAATGAAAAAAAATACATAGCTTTTTACTTTAAAGGAACATAAAAAAACAAAGAGGTGGGTTAGATAGGCGGCTCCAAAGCTTTTGGATTCAGACCAGTAGAACTAGGAATAAAAATTGAGGATGGGGTCCAAGGGAAGGTTTACTATATTTCTATTCTGCGAGGTTAAGTTCATCTAAAAATAATAAATATTATCTACTATCACCATAATTTAGTCATTAATAATCTGAAAAAGGAAAAACCATTTTAACACATACACACAAAGAAAGCAACCCAGTAGAAAAAAGGGCAAAGAACACGTGAAGCGGTAACTTACAGGAGTAGAACAATTATGCACAAAGTCGCTCAAGCTTACTGGCCATCCACAAAGTGCACGTCAAAGCAACACTGAGGGACTTCCTTGGTGGCGCAGTGGTTAAGAATCTGCCTGCCAATGCAGGGGACACGGGTTCGATCCCTGGCCTGGGAAGGTCCCACATGCCACGGAGCAACTAAGCCCGTGCGCCACAACTACTGGGCCTGCGCTCTAGAGCCCGCGAACCACAACTACTGAGCCCACGGGCAACAACTACTGGAGCCCATGCTCCACAACAAGAGAAGCCCCTGCTCGCTGCAACTAGAGAAAGCCTGTGCACAGCAACGAAGACCCAACGCAGCCAAAAAAAAATACGCTAAAAAAAAAAGCCACAACGAAATGCCTTTCACCTCTTCAGCTGGCAGGAATTTTAGATGAGAGATAAAAGGCACTCCCTACGTTGCTGGAAGGAGTAATAACTGCTGTGCAACTGGGGGAAAGAAATATGGCAAAAGCTATTAAATTTTAAGACATACATATCATTTGACCCTTCATTTCTGCCTCTGGTAATCCAGCTTACAAAATCAAAAGCACTATCACGTACAAATACGGACGTGGACTGCATAGTGTGGAGTGAAATAATTAGAAACTAATGTAAAGTCATCAATCAGGGAACGGCTGAACAAATTATGGGAGATCCATAATATAACAGGCAATTATTAAAAATTATTTAGGTTTATATTACCCAACTCAGAGGGATGTCAATGATGTAATGGTATGAACCTTTTTTTTATTAGGAAAAAAAAAGGTAAAAAGCAAAAGTGATCACAACACTAAGAGAGGTTTACTAACGGGTCCTCAGCCAGGGCACAGCAGGGAGGGGGCTAAGAGAGAAGTCCTCCTCAGAAACCAAGGGATCAGATATGCTGAGTAAAGACTTTCATGCTGAATGTTTCCTGAAAACACTGGAGAAAGTCTAACTGAGAGTTAAACACCCAACTTCAGGGACTTCCCGGGTGACTCAGTGGTTAAGAATCTGCCTGCCAATGCAGGGGACACAGGTTCGATCCCTGGTCCAGGAAGATCCCACATGCCGCGAAGCAACAAAGCCCGTGCGCCACAACTACTGAGCCTGTGTTCTAGAGCCTGTGAGCCACAACTACTGAGCCCGCGTGCCACAACTACTGAAGCCCATGTCCCTGTAGTCCGTGCTCTGCAACAAGAGAAGCCACTGCAATGAGAAGCCCACACACCACAACGAAGAGTAGCCCTCGCCCTTCACAACTAGAGAAAGCCTGCGCGCAGCAACGAAGACCCAATGCAGCCAAAAATAAATAGATTTATTTTAAAAATAAATAAATAAACACCCAACTTCCATCCTCTCGGGGATGTTCCATCCGCACATTAAGTCAAATCACAAAACCTCTCCTTAAATCTGCCCCTTTTTCTTTTTTTTTAATAAATTTATTTATTATTTTATTTATTTGTTTTGGCTGCACTGGGTCTTCGCTGCTACGTGCAGGCTCTTCTCTAGTTGCAGTGAGCGGGGGCCACTCTCCATTGTGGTGCACGGGCCTCTCATTGAGGTGGCCTCTCTTGTTACGAAGCACGGGCTCCAGGCATGCCGGCCTCAATAGTTGTGGCACGTGGGCCCAGTTGCTCCATGGCATGTGGGATCCCCCGGACCAGGGCTCGAACCCATGTCCCCCGCATTGGCAGGCAGACTCCCAACCACTGTGCCACCAGGGAAGTCCCTAAATCTGCCCTTTTAAACCCAGCATTTGACCACAGTTTCAACATTTCACACCTGTTTCTTCTTTTCTTTTCTTTCATAACTGGGTACAGTAAATGGCTTAGGTCCAACAAACGTCCAAATGAAGGAACACACTCGCTGCTTTCAAAGTGTGCCTCACCAAATCCCCCCAAACATTGTTCTCGGTTACAGTAACTTTTAAAAGACATGCTTCTTATCAGCACTTTCATTTTTATTTTACTAATCTTTATTAAAGAATCAAAGCAACGTGTAATAACAAGTACTAATAATTGCACAGACACGACATTGCACACAGGGATGCTGCTACTGCTGCATGTGAACGAGTGGCCGGCAGGAGCACCGTGTGGGGAGACCGGGCATGCCTGCTCAGTGACTGAGTCACAAAGGCCTGCTTGGGTATGTGACACAGTGTCAGGGTATAATACATAAAGGTGTGGGTCAGTTTGTTC